AAATGTCCAACAACTCTCAACCAAGGATTCTTGGGCTCCTACTATTAGGGCATTTTAATGTGAAGCAGATGTGGTATGAATGCCCCAGGCAAAGGAAGGAAATAAGCTGGGATGTTATGCACCCAAATTAATGCTTCATCATGTCCTTTAAAAATTGGTTAAAAACCTACCTTGAAAACAAGATGCTGGGATGTGGATCAAAAACGAACCTCTGTAGTTCTGAACAACAGCCAGATTTAAAGCAGACCACTGCTTTATTACTTTCTACTGGCTGTGAAAGGCTCCCCATTTCATAGTGATAGATCATGCTTTTCAACACCTGTCTATATATAAAAAGCTTAAGATGGGATTCTTAACTACTGCATCATCATCTTTTAGGGGTTTAACTCCCTTTTCTGGATCTAGCTCAAAAGGTTTCCTCCTGCCTGAATTTTGCTTCTAGAAAAGAAAAAGCTGCCAAAGGCATTCAACCACTTATTTTCATCACTTGGCAGAATGAACTACCAGAGATTATCTCCCTTTCTGACTGAGAAAACAAGCTCAAGGAGGGAGAAATCAGTGATGTGGAAGACTGTAAGTATATCCATAATGTGTGACAACCTAAGACAGCGATGAAACAAGATTCTTTGTAATCAAAAAGAATAATATGGTACAAGTTACAACAGCACTGGCAAGCCTTGTTGATTCAGTATGTATTTCTATCAGAACCATCAAAGAATCACCACAGAGTAATTTAAGTGCTGGGTTATACAGAAATTGCCTTTTTTGTTGTTGTTGTTGTTATGGTATTCTTTTCAAGGCAATGAAGAAATGCAGTGTTGTATCATCTGCCTCCACTACCTGTTACTTCCCTGCTGCCAACTGATGCAATTTTCACCTGGATATCCAGCACAGCTGTACAGTGCAATCCAATTGGTTTGGCTTCTGTAACGCTGCTGACACCCCTAAAATTTACAGGTGACTGGCACCATTATATGAAGCCTGTGAGCTTTTGAAATTGTAGCTAAAGATCTTATCTGGCTTGTAGAAACTCTAATTATGCAGACACAAAAAGAAAGGTCTGAGTGACACTGGCTGGTTCTGAAAGATTTGCAGTTAACAGCCAATTAAAAAAAATAAAGTAAATTATTTCGTAGCTGATAAAGAAATCAGTGAAATATTATGAAAGTGGATCTCTAGTAAGCTACTTCTAGTGTCATTTTCCAAACTAGTTTCCCTATTACAAGTTAATAGCTATTTTGAGATCACATATTTCAGGCTATCCTAAACATAGTCCTGGGACTGTTTAATGTATTTTTTGTGTTTTCATAAATTCAGACTCTTCCTTGTCTTTCCTCAACATATTACTGCTAAGGTAGCTTTCTTCTATACCTTTGATTATCTTCCTTCTTTTATCTTCCTGTCTTTTCCTTCCCTTTTTCCATTCTTCAATGTCCTTCCTAATCATGACAAAACCTGTCATGTTTCCAAAATAAATTGTCCATATTAATTTTAGCCAGCTATATGATGAAAAACACACCTCTATGATCAGAACCGTTTGAAACTGATCTGCATAACAAGTGCATAACGAGTGCAACACCCTACTACTTATCGGCGTCTATATCGCTGACCTGACCTACCGCAGCCTGTTAAGATTAATGTATCTGCTCTTTGGACCGACGTCAGAGGCGAGCTGAGGGGCGAGGCGCTACCTGCGCGCGGCGCAGCTCCCTCACGAGGCGGCCGAGGGCTCTGCGGCGCCCACCGTGGTAGTTAACGGCCGCCAGCGGCCGAGCGTGAGACCCGCCCGCCCACCACGGGTCTGTGGTGGTTCTGCCTCCGCGCCGGACGAGACCATCTTACGGGGGGGGGAGTTGGGATGAGGGGAAAAAAGCCTCCCTACCCCCCTGGTGAAGCGTGTTCTTCCTTGGCACAGAAGCAGAATGGGGACCACGGAGAAGTGCTGCGCTGATTCTCAAGGAGGGCGGCGGGGAGCGCCCCGAGGACTCTTCCTAGGTTGCGCCCGCTTCCACCCTCTCCCCCTCTTCGGCGCGTGGTAGAGGCGAGGCACCGCCCCCGCGCGTGCGCCGTGAGCGCCGTGGGCGCCGGCGACGCTCAGTGTCAGAGGCGCTGCAGGAGATGGCGGAGGCTGGGGCGGGGAGGGGGCCCGGGG